ACAAACTTAGTTTTGAACGCATCATTCCTTCCCCCTCCTCCACCGTGCAAACACTCGCATCTCAGGGGCCGTGTTTATATTTATGCCCAGCTGGTGCTGCCCGGAATGCGAGAGCAGTCCCAGCACATCTACTCCTCAGCCCTGGGTCCACAGGAAGTCACGAGCTGGGTGCAACCTCCTGTCACTCTCCTCAGAGCTCCTTCCAGATGGGACACTCTGCCCTACTGGGCTGTGATGCTTCCATCCGGAATGTGCCCTATTTCTCAATTGTGCGCCTTTATCTTGCTGTTCCCCCGGAGTATGAGGTTGTGCCCCTCTACTCTTAAATGTCCACAAGTGTGTCTCTAGGCACCCCTCACCGCTGCCCACCTCCCGCCCTCTCTTCTGACCCACCACGGCATTAGCACTCACGTAGGGGCCAACACACCCAGCCTCTAGCTACACGTGAGGGCATGATGACCTCTTACACTTCCACATATAGTGGGTCCTCAGATCTGTAAATGCTGGAAGGAAATTCATCTGAGGCAGCATTGTCATGGAAACTAAAAAAGATAATGATTAACAAAACATAAAAAGCAAAGGACCACAAGTAGCATATTCTAAAATCATGCTAGGATAGACTGTATCTAATATAACACCAACCAATCTATAGGCTAGATTGCTCCGACAGACATGGTAAGTATGTATTGATGCCTTGAACAGAAAGTAAGAGTTGAGCATAACTCACAGAAAAACACACATTGAGCCTGTTTCTATCTGTGAAGCAGGATTTCTAGTGTTATTCAAGAAGAATTTGGTTAGCCAATATATCATAGTATCAATGTTTATAGTAACATTAGGTTTAAGGTAAAAATATTTACCTAGTAACTTTTTTTCATTCAGAAGTCCACCTCGTTCATTAAACATTCTTTACAATGTAAACGTCTCCAAATTTAAATTGGAACAATGATTTTTAAAAGTTGTAACAGTTTTAATTGGAATTCCATAAGCAAGGAGGTACTTACCACTTGCTTTATACTGCATCTGATCACCTTTTTCACTTCTTTATTTTTAAAAGAAATTCAACACCTATAATACTTTTAACAGTATTATTGTGATATCTCACATAAAATTCACTCATTGAAACTATACGATTTAATGATTTTTAGTGTATCCACAAGGCCTGTGATATTATTCAAGGTTAAAAGTGACAATGTAATCATAAAAATTTACAGAAAAGATAAGAGGTTCACTAGACCCAACAAGAACACCAAATTGCTGAGTCAGTTTTTCATAGTTGGTTCTTCACAGGATTCGGGTCTATATTTTATAAATATATTATTATACTTAATATAATTTAATGTGACATGTTAATTTAATGTAAATATATTACATATATTTTCAATTCATGTATTTATTTACAGTTCAGTCCTAGCTCTATATCATCCCACCTTGAAATGAATAGTCATCGAAAACACAAGTTTGTATTACTAAAACCAGAGCAGACAAGATGATGGATGCATATATCCTAACTTGCAATCCATTGTTTAGTTTAAACTAAAACACAGATATTTACTGCTTTATGTTTAGCAGCCTTGGGACCTTCTGTTAGAACTTAATGAAGCGGTTAGACCTCATAACACAGAGTAGTGCAATGCTCAGTTCTCGCTTTCCCTCTTTGAACTACCTACGGCAGCAGCAGGTACAAACGCGAAACCCAAAGAGCACCCATGTCCCCTTCGCACCACGAGGAGGACTCTGACATCGCGCCAGGATCCAAGTGCTAAAGCTGCAACTATAAACTGTGGTTCCTGCTTTAGGTACACCAACTATTTTCTTACAAGTCTTCACAAAATTTCATTAAAGTGTAAGTCAATGATTAACACTCAGAACAAAAGCAAATATTTGCCCTTCCTTTACAGGGTATTCTTCTCTTTTGTTCATCTGGTTCTTAGCCTACACATATTAAATTTTGGTTACAGTTCAGTGCTCCTGAACTTCCCAGAGCAACTATGAGAAGAAGAAAGCTCTCCCCAAAGAAGAGCTTGTGCGCCATAGTAGAGAACAGCATTAAATCTCAATCATCAAAATATCACAGTAATAAAAGAACCATTGTCAAAACAGTTGAGTAATGGGGCCAGTCGAGTGGCGTGTGGGTTAAGAGCTGGCTTGGGACGCCAGAGGGACCCAGTTCGGATCCCACATATGAGGGCCAGTGACACTATCCTCTACAGCTAAGATGCTGAACAACAAGTTCAACCTAGAGCTGGGCTGCCATGAGTTGCCGGCGACGGCACAGACTGCAGCCCCTGCTGCAGTGGGTTGCCATGGGCTACCGTGTGTAGCCAGCAGCCAGTATGAGCGACCAGCAGCCACCGTGAGCGGCCGTCCAGAAGCCGGCGACTGATCTGCCTCACCAGGGAAGAGCGCAATGATGGTACCAACTTGGGCCAGTGAAGCAACGTCCTCCACAACTAGACTGAAGAACAAAA